AACTTATTGTACTTGGTATATTAATTCGTTTGAGGTTGCTAGACAATGAATTTGAATGTTTTATTTCGGGTCTAAACTTGTGTTGGTAATTTTTAAGTTGGTAATTATTGGGGTTAATGCGTTTGATTACAAGCTCATTTTTAAATTCAAGCTCATTTTTAAATGATTCTGGTGTTTGATTAATTTTAAATTTAAAACCGCCACCATTTTCCTTTATTTTTGAATTCTTCATGTAATTATCGCGTTTGAGCTTTTGTTTAAGGTGTTTTATTTCAAGTTCAGTAGAAAGTGTCTCTGGTGTTTGATTTTTAAATTTCCTCCTAGTAGAAAGTGTTTGATTTTTAAATTTCATTATTGAATAGAACGAAATAAAGAAAGTCCTAGCCTCTAACACAAAAATTTATTAAATGTATTTTCTGTTCAGATAAATAGCACTCCGGTAAACTGATTCTTCGATTCGTTAAAACTTAATAGATTGAAATTATAATACAAAAATTGACCGGAAATTAAAATTCGAATGATATTACGAATGTGTAGTATTATGTTATTTAACTAACAATAGGGATTTTTTTTCAAATGATCTTTGTAACGTTAAAATGAGACAGAGCAGAATGTGGAATTTTTATATTTTTCAATTTTTTATTACGGACGTTTATACTCCGAATTTTACTCAGACATGTTACAATGCCCTTTATGTCCTTACTTTTTTTCATTATCTTATCTCAACTATGAGAAGCTTGTGGAGTTAATCTTCCGAATTGTTACACCAAGAAAATCTGGAATCCGAATTGTTACACTAAATCTATTCAGAATTATCTAGAATATGTTCGTACTAACTGATAAGTTTTGGTACTACTTAGCGTTAGGAGCCGAACCTACGCATTTAATGGGTTCTATGTTCTTTTACACAGTTGAATTCAGTTCCGAGTATATTACATATTTGTTGTGCCTTAGATGCATCGTTGCCCAGCCAGGGTTAGGGTAAAAGTCAAGTCACGGTATAATTTAGGCCAATTATTGCAGATCATTTAATGCTGGTCATCTGGTAGTGCGCCAACTGCAACCTCACGCAAGTGTTAATCCGAGGCATAATATATATATTGTATTTTTATATTAGATTCTATAATTCTCAATTCAATTTTATATTAGATTCTAGAATTCTCAATTCACAGATTCCGTGTGATGAAATTTGCTGGGGCCTGTATCATGCATTTAACCAATGACTATTTTAACCGATATCTAATTAGATTTGTTACGCATCGAATCTATTTAATAATATTCACTATTTAATTCCATTTTATTCCATTTTATTCTCATTGATTTAATCATGAGTAGAAAGCGCATTTCTTAATATAAATAAGCAATCCTCTATCACTTCGCTAAAATCATAACTACTGTTAACCCCTGTAATTAATATCATGTGATGACTTAACAATAATGTAATACAAATGCCAAGAATGCTACAAGTGCTAATAGATCTATTAGTTCTAGTAGATATATTAGCTTTATTAGAAATAGTAGAAATATTAAATATAGTATAGCTAGTAGATATGCTTTAAAATGTATAAATAGCCACAATTTCTCTTGCACAAAAACAGTAGTTTTTCAGACTCAACGAGATAATAAAGGAGTAATCGTGTTTTCATACACGAATAACTCGAATACTTTATTAAGTAATCATAAACTTGTTATATACATTCAGTCATTTGCCTCTTTCGCAATTGTAAATCACATAATCCTCTTGAAGTGTAACTGTAATAAACCTTATATTTTACTTAAGCATAAACACGGCATTGTTATTAATCGTCTAACATCTTCTTCACAAAGCAAATTAGTTATACCGGACTTATAAGAGGTAGTTCAATTTAATACTACATAAAGGTCTTTATAAACAGAACTTGAAACATGACCTAGAGCATAATAATAGATGCGATAAACTTGAATAATTATTCTGAAGATATCAACAATTAATAATTAGTATATTCATGAACTTGAATAATTATTTTAAAAACTTAGATTAATAAATTAATTAACGCGAATAATGTCAGTAATGTCAGTAATGTCAATAATGTCAGGTAAGTAAGTTTGCTGGAAAATGAAAGTCAAAATGAATATTGGAGAAATAATTTCAGAAAAATAAAAATGTGAGAGAAAAGGATTGTCAGGAAATATGAACGGTGATTTGGAATCTGAACATAATTAATTATAATAATACAGTATTGCAGAGGTTATTAATGCGTTTATGAAAAATAAGACATAATTTTCAGTTTTTATTTTCATTTTTTAATTTAAATATTATATATTATTACAATATAGAGTATTATGCAAATCATACTATTTAGTTTTAAAGGCATTTTCAATTTTAATATAATAACTTTTCTTACATATGTAAATAACCTGTATGTAAGCATAAAATATTCATTATACCAATTCTTAACGTATTGTCATGAATTACGGATCCTCTTAAAAATATGTCTTGAGATAATAACAGTGATTTACTCATGTGGGACAAGTTAATTGAATTAATTTTATGCCATGCAGTAGTCGTCACGAGTTACTCGCGAGCTAATCATTAATGTATTATTACGTGTAATGATGCATAATTAACTGTTAATACGTACGTACGTACGTACGTATGTATGTAATGTAATTTAACTTAACTATATTTACGTAATTCATTGGAAGTTAAATTAAACTATATAATTACTATATTTAATAAAAATATAAAAAAAAATTCAAAAACTTTTAAATTATACAATATGGCACAAGACAAAAACAATAATAAACAAGGGGAATCCTACGCTAAAGAAATTAGTCAAAGTACTATTACAGAAAAAGCACCAACCTTGATCCAGAAAATAAGGACTTGTAATCTGTGGTAATTGCTTTTATTTGTTTTGCGTAACTCGCTATTTGAAAGTATATTTGCTTTTGTAACTCTCCATATACAAAACTTTCAATAAATTAATTGTTGTGACTCGGAATAATCGAATAGAATTCGAATAAATAATTTGATCGAATAATTCTTCGGAGTTTAATTCACGAGTAGTGATGCGGTACACTAGAATCGTCTCAATGAAAGTCGTCACATTGCGTCACATTGCCATAACTTGCCGTAACTATGGTAGGTAGTATAGTAAGTTACGGCATTATAGCCGTAACTTACTAAATTACTTTACTATAGTTACGGTAAGTTACGGCAATGTGACGACTAGAGATGGGCAAGGTAATTACTTATTACGTAAAAAATCAAATCACATTATGCGACAATTTACTAATAATATAT